GATATCGCATTGCGTGGACTACCAATGCTCATGGAAGGCGAAGCAGCCATATGGTGGAGAGGGGTCCGGAACGAAGTGTCCTCGTGGCCCGACGCTCTCAAAAGGTTACGAGCTATGTATGGTGTGCCACGCCCTGCACATAAAGTTTTTCGTGACGTGTTTTCGTCTGAGCAAGGTGATGAGCTTGCTGACAGTTTCATAGTGAGGATACGTGCTATGCTGTCCAGATTGCCGTACCAGCTACCAGAGGAAGCCAGGTTAGACATAATCTACGGTCTACTTCATAAACGGATAAGGAAAAGACTACCGAGAGATGGTGTGAGCGACATAGAAACACTCATAGAGAAGTCGCGCATGGTGGAGGAGTCACTTGTGGAGTNTGAGCGGAAGAATCGGGACTTAAAGGCTCATCTTGCCATATTGCTTGAAGGCCGTCACCAGCAGTGGCCTGAGGTACTGTCGTTCGTCCGATTCGCTTTTAATAGTTCCGTCTGCACGTCAACCGAGCAAACGCCAGCTTATCTTACCTTTGGTCGTGAGCTCCGATCTCCAATATCCGCTCAGCTTGATCTTCGCGCCGTCGTAGAGTCCGAGAACTTTGTCCCCCAGATAAGCCCATACTTGTCCAAGCTTGCCGAGACCATCTCGACCGCTAAGGAGAATATTGAACATCATCAAGATATTCAAAAGACGCGCGCTGATCTAAGGCGCTCTGAACCTTACCAGTTTGCAGAAGGGGATCTCGTATTGATGAAGACCCACGTACTTAGTAATGCTAGTAAGGGTATTACGTCGAAGTTTAATCCTAAGCGGGATGGGCCATATGTGATTTCAAAAAAGGTGAGTCCTACTTCCTACCTTCTAGCATACGAGTCGTCGGGCGAAGTTTTTGGTAAGTATCATGTCTCGGATTTGCGACCTTATCATGCGAGGGAGGATGTATGTCCCGAGCCTGTGATTCCCAAGCGCCGCCGGGGTCGACCGCGTAGGGTGGTGGGGTAGACTGGGTCTCATTCCGCGTTGTTTGTTTGACCAGTCAAGGATTTCTCGCCAGGTCAAAAGGGGGAGTGTGTAACGTGCGGAACTGAAATATAATAAAAAGATCCTCGCACGCTAAGCGGAACCCTAAAGTGTTGACCAACGCCGCGCGACCGACACCTGCGCGGGATTCGTAAAAATGTAGTCAGTGAGTTTCGAAAAATTTGAATAACGCGCATGCGCCGGTCGCTGCACAAAATTATTAATTTAAAAACTATCTTGTTATACCTTGTTGTACCTTAAGTTGTAACGATTAAATAAATGATTAACATTAAAAAACTTATTTAGGCTCCGATTTTATGCCAACGATATCATCCTCAAGGATGGATGACGTCAGACAGGCGGTCGATCGTAAAACTCATTCCAAATCCCTAAGCAGTATGATATTCAAAGTAATGTAAAAGGAGGAGATACCGCGCCGACTCCAAATAATTTTGGATAAGAGCCAGAAGATGGTATAGCTTTTTTTAATATTTTCACCTGATAAAGGTAACATTTGATTGGCTTGATATCTATCTATAATATATAAAAATGAATTCCTGTTCGTTAGTCTCGCTAAAACTCGAGAACGGCTGGACCGATTTGGCTAATTTTGGTCTTGAGTTATTTGTGGAAGTCCAGAGAAGGTTTAAAAGTTAGATAAATATGAAAATGCTCGGAATTGAATAAAAATAACAATTTTGTTTTCCCTTTGATGTGTCCCCCGTCGGACGGATTCCTTTTGTTTGTTTTTAAGTTTATTTTATACAAAAGTTTTTTGTATTTTATTTATCGATTGAGGCACTACGAAGTCTGCCGGGTCAGCTAGTAAAAAATAAAAGTGTGGTTTGTGTAGCTATGACATTCTTTTTTTAGCTATGACTTTTAATGACATTTTGTTCGACATTTTAATAATCACAATTATGAGGATGAGCGAACTTTTAAAAAAAAAAGGAAGGATTAAAAGTAGCCCTGAGACCTTGCCAAACTCGGACTTTTAATTGAATGTCGATATTTGTGTTTGCTATTCTAAAGATACCTTATCAAACCTTATATGAATGAACCGTCCATCACGCCACCTGTTGTATAATGATCGTACTATGAACTTTCTCTGCAGTACTTACTGCAGACGTTCCAATTACGTGTGATTGCATTAAACTCAAATTCTGTGTGAAGAGAAACGTAAATATCAAGTTTTTCTTAAATAGACGACCCAGCTTTTCATGCGCTACCACAAAACTCTAAGCTAATCGAATCATCCGACACAGTTTTTTCCCCTATCTATTCTTTGGTAGCCTAAGGGGCTATTTCAGCTACGCCTGGATGGGTAGGTGAGTTCACATGCTCAACCTCAGAGAATTTGCTAAAACTAGCCCTAGCTTGAGCAATACTTCGCAGAATCTACCACCGGATCGAAATCGCGCTCCACTGAGAAGATCCAGCAAGAAACTCAATGGGCTATGTCCGTGGGGCCGAAACAGTGAAATGACAATAAGCAATGCGGGGCTAAACTGTAAAAGTATATTTAATTATCATGAAACTCGAATCTATCGACACGATATTTTCGTTATCTTTGATAAGTTAAAAAAAAATGCATCGCATGCTTTCATTGCACGATTTATTCATGTAATGTACAATCTATACATCTATACAAATAAATAAAATTGGAGTGTCTGTTTGCAATATTGAAATAACCGCTTTTTACTACGAGCATATTATTATGAATATATATACGGTACATACACCAAAATAACATTTTTTACAATTTTTGTCTGTCTGTCTGTTTGTTCCGACTAATCTCTAGAAAGGCTGGACCGATTTTGACGAGACTTTCACTGATAGGTAGCTGATGATATAAGGAGTAACTTAGGTTACTTTTTTTAAAACTAGCTTCGCCCCGCGGCTTCACTTGCGATACGACAATAACCGCGGGTAGCGTCGCGAGATTCAGCTACCTATTAATAATAAAATGTAATGTTTGAGAAGCGAAGCGAGGGCGGGTCGCTAGTATGAAATATAAATTGTTGCCAAAGCTAAGTTGTATTTAACATGGTTCAGTGATTCAATAGACATTTTGAGCGTGCTTAAGTTTTGTACACTATAAACCCTGTGTACATACTATTGTTTTTGTGTCATATTTGTAATCAATATCAGAGCCACTGATATTTTTTGGCCAATCATACTATTGGGAAATCAAGAGATTACGATTTGTACTGAAGACATTTAACGAAAAAAAAAACAATGCTACGGTGCTTGGGTGCAATGAATGCGTATTTTTTCTAGTACTTTCGTATGTGACAAATACTAGGCATTGAACCGACTTGACATTTAGTGTTCATAATATGCTCATTATTACACACTATCTATCTACTATACCTCTGGAATATAGGTCTATATTATTTTAACTTCCGTTCTTATAAACGATATTAATTTTATCAAAATGGCGATTTAAAAAATTATAATTTGATAATTTTCACTTTAACTATTAATTTTTTTAACTATATCTTGTTTGCTGACTCAATCAGAGATGATCTTCGGTTTGATGGGCCGAGCAATCATCATGCAATTTAATTGAGATATCGACCTCATTTCTCGAGGTTGAATTGTAAAGTCTATGGGCTTTGATGACCACTTTGCATCAGGTTGGAGACTAGGTCGTTCAGCCTATGCTGTTTATATTATACGCTACATACACTATATACATATAACTACACTTATACGTACCATATAAAACTCGCCAGCTATCTCGATTCTCGACCCACGTTCCTAATTGATTTTTATACGAATTTGTCAAACCCTTCAGATAGGTAGCCGCTTATTAAACTTCAAAATAAGCCAATGCAAATCGAACATTATTATTATTTTTAAGAGATTTTATGACCTGGTAACATAGACCTTTAACTCAAGTCTTATTTTAATTGATATTCTGATTTTTATAAAAAATGATAATATCGAGTGAAATAAAATGAAATGAAGATGATTAATTTGAGACATTAATCAACTGGTATGAAATTAAATGAAATGAAATGAGATGGTATGGGATGAAATATAATCTCAGTAAAATGGTGGTCATTTACTGAGATTTTTTCCGTGGACTTTTTGGAGGATCCCGTAAAGTCACGTTCAGCGGCTTTGTTTCATTTTCCCACATTTGTGCACTTTCACAGATATTAAACAGTAAATAAACCACCGTAATTACACATTTAAACCTGAAGAAACACTGAACAGACAAAATAAAACAAATCACACAATATCACTCCTCGCGTTCCCGCCAAAAAGTCGCAAATCTAACACATGTAAATATTTGGAAATTAAATTAAACTATCGGTGAGATTGTATCGCATCTACATTATGACCCTTATAATATGCTCCAACTTGACACAAGCGAATTCAATAAAAAAAAACACCAGACTAAAGAGGTCGATGCACATTCGAACTCCTTTCGATTTTAAACCAAGTATGTGTATTCTATAGTTGCAGAAGTTGTGTTTTCCTGTTGACGTCTAGATGGTCGTAAAGCATCACTGCCTAGTTCAATACACCAGCTAAATTTCAAACCTTGAACTCTGCGACTGACTCTGGTATGATGATCGGGTTATTAGAAAATTTGCAGGACGAAAAAACCAAAACAATATGACTTACGATTAATTTAGTGCAGAACTTAAAAAACACGATTAAAGAGGGAGAAAGAAAGAGAGAGAGAGAGAGAGAGAGAGATAAAATACACTTTATTGCACCCCATAACACAATTTACATTCAAATTCATACTCACATACATATAATAAATAAACAACATATCAAAAGAAAAAGAACAATATTCCGAATTAATACGTTGCCGTACATGTTAGTTAATGAATGTACAGCTTTATCTAAACGGGCGAGGTCGACGTGCGGCTGAACCCAGTGGGGCGCGGCGCGGCGTGGCGGGGCAGCGACGCGCGGGCACAAACGTTTCTAGAACAGTTCATACATAGAGAGCGGGACGGGAACTCGTCGCGCGTGACGCGATCATCGCCACAATGGACGTCGGACGCCTAATCGAATGCGTCAAAGACCACGTGTACTTATACGATATAAAACATAAAGATTACAAAAACATCGCACTCAAAACGGCCGTGTGGGAAGCCATCGCGAAGGAATTACATCAAACATGTAAGTTACAGTCGCATCAATATCATTATCGACCTCGAACGTTTTTGTTGATAAGGAAAGGTATACAGAACAATATATTTATTATCATTCCGTTACCCGCTTATACCGCGTCTATAAGTTAATATTTAAAACCGTGTTAGTTTTTGAAAGGAGGGTACCTCCTCCCGTTTTTGTTGTAAAATTGAATGCTTGATTAAACACGAAAACTATTATTATGATAATATTAGATTTTTATTTTTACAATTTTTTTTAAATTTGTTAGAGCTTATTGTATCTGAGCCCGCACGGGTACGTACAATTGGAACTTCGTTATCATGAGTCAAGGAGTGAAGTGGTATTCATGATGTGATTGATGTCTATAGACTATTTTATCCACTTAACATCAGAAGCGTAGGTATGTTCACGTATTATACGTAAAAAAATTGCGAATAGTATTAAAACATTGAAAATTAAATTATGTAATTTTACATTTTTTACTGGTGGTAGGACCTCTTGTGAGTCCGCACGGGTAGGTACCACCGCCCCGCCTATTTCTGCCGTGAAGCAGTAATGCGTTTCGGTTTGAAGGGTGGGGCAGCCGTTGTAACTATATTGATACCTTAGAACTTATATCTCTAGGTGCGTGGCGCATTTACGTTGTAGATGTCTATCGGCTCCACTTAACACCAGATGGGCTGTGAGCTCGTCCAACCATCTAAGCAATAAAAAACCGATTTAATTATTGGTTTATTCAAATCATTTTGTTGCTAGCATTCAATTATAGTATATGAACAGTAAATGTTTTAGTTTAAAATAGCTTGTTTACAAACAAAGCCCTGATCTGTGGCGTTGTGGATATTGTTATCGGCGGATCGGACAGACGGGTGTTAACTTATTATTATTATCGAAGCACACAATGACGCCTCTTATCCTGAGACATTAGGGCTGATCTTAATTACTTTGGGAAACATAATGTAAATAATGGTAGCGCTCACCTTGAGACAAGAGGTCAAAGATTAATAATTGTTAACGGTTTTGCCACTTTGCAAAAGGATAAGCGTGGCTACTTCACTGCAAAAATAGGCAAGATGGATATGGGTGTGTAGACTCCCAATAAAATGCATACAACCCTCAAAAGCGGCTGGTTTAATATTTTTATTAAAATCTTAATATTACTACATTAACTCGCCAAAAATAGGAAAGATTTTACTTAAGCTTGTATTTATAGGCTTATTTGATTTACAGTTCAGATCGTGAGTCGCATTTATTGTATCCTAATACTCTAAACTAGTGCAGTAATTTAAAAAACGCGTATGTTTAAAATTTTAATTTAACAGATAATCTTTATTTCAGGCGATACCGTGAAATTAAAATGGAAAACTATAAGAGACGGGTACATAAAATACAAAAAACAGGTTAAGGATAGCGCCTTCAACGGTAAAAAGATAAACGACTACATATGGAGATCACAATTAGTTTTTTTGGACAGTCACAACGTAACAAGAAACTCCAAGGCGAATCAGAATAATCAAAAGGCTTTAACGCAGCTACAAACCGAAGATTCGCCCGGTGAGGCAGCTTGGCACTCGCCGAAACCCGAGGCGCACACATCCCAAGAATCGCAAAGCCCGTCCGATATGAATTATCAAAATGAATCGAGACTGACCAAGCGCAAGGCTGAAGACGACGTGGACAAAATTCTAAATTACTTAGTTAACAAAAAAGAAAAAAAATATGATGCCGTTGATTATCTGTTTATGAGTTACGCGGAAACGTTCAAGACCTTCTCGTCTCGAACTCAAACCGATATGAAATTGGAATTAGCTAATTTATTTCTTAACGCCGAACTAAAAGAGTTTGCGAACGCCGAAAGCGCTCAGAGACTGACCGCAGAGGCCCAGTCCGGTTCGGATAGTTCCAGTAGCTCAAGCGATTCGGATAACTGCGAGAATTCTCAAACAGATCCCATAGGAACGATGGATGTTAAAATTGAAAGGTCATCGACGCCTGATTACTTTGAGCAGAAATTTTAGTTTGGATTATGGATGAGTATGTTCGAATTTGAGTTTAACGAGACATGTTTTATGTTTAAAAGTACAATGGTACAGAGAGACGTAGGCCACAGAAACACAACATAAATTGACTAGCGATTTCGATTTAGAAATTAGGAAATTCTTCTTCTTTTTCTCCACCTTATCCTATTAAGTGGGGTCGGCACAGATAATTTTTCTATTCAATTCTCTTCTATTAGCCGTCATCTCAACAATCACCCCTCTCTTTCATATCGTCATTTACACACTCCATCCATGTCTTCTTCGGTCGACCTCTTCCCCCTCTACATTGCACTAAATTATGACATTAAATTAAATTATAATATAATGATATTCTTTATTGCCATGACTACCAAGTAAACAATGTGATCTATTGTTATTTTGTTTCTGAAACCTTATTAAGGTTTTCAATTTAAAATTATTATACACGAGACATCCAGTGTAATAATTCCAAGTCATAATCTTTCGTCTACATTATAGCGTAGATGTATTCTCTTGAAAGTTTGTAAAAAGAATTTGGAGTGGTTTAATGGCTTTTGAAGTTAATGTTCTTACGAACCGAATGATGTTTAGTGATTATAGACAACTGAACGTAAATGCCGCTACTCGCTTGGAAACATGAGGCCGAAGTCGTCGAATAATGAGGTCGAACAATACAGTGAGACGTCTCGTGAGCCCGCATCGATAGGTACCAATAGTAGCAGCAGTAGAAGTGGTTGCTTTTCGGTTTGAAAGGTGGGGCAGTAGTTGTACTATAAAAACGGAGACCTTAGAACTATTATCTCAAGGTGGCGGCATTTACGTTGTAGATACATAATAGAAATACTAGGACATACATAATAGAAATACTAGGAACAAACACAAGCTTGTTGTGCCGATGAGTAGGTTACATAAGATACGAAATTCATTCGGGTGTTTGTCTGTGCGCCTGTACAACAAAATCCCACAAGATGTTCAGAACCTACATATACATAGGTTTAAGAAAACTGTTAAAGAACATCTGTGCAATAAAGCTTACTATAAAGTCAATGATTANACAAGATGTTCAGAACCTACATATACATAGGTTTAAGAAAACTGTTAAAGAACATCTGTGCAATAAAGCTTACTATAAAGTCAATGATTATCTAGAAGATTGCACAAAGTGGGAATGAGTTGCTCGCTCCGGGCATTTCAATATTGTAGTAATTGTTACGTTATAATACTCATTGTAAAAAACTCATATTAAAAAAAAATATGTAATATTAAAAAATTAATAAATAATAATTGCTTATTAAAAAAAAAAAAAAAAAAAAAAACATGCCCGCTGAGTTTCTTGCCAATTCTTCTCAGGACGGAGGCTAGTTCTTGTGAATTGGCGGTAGTTCTTTTGACGTTCAACAAGTATGTACTTTCATTTATGTTGAATAAAAATTTTTTGATATGTTTGATATGTTGAGATGTCTATGGGCTCCAGTAACCACTTAACACCAGATGGGCCCCTTAGCACGTCCACCGCGTGAGCAATAAAAAAAGTCTTAACTGTATACTCTTTAAAGATTATTGAACCATTACTGTCTCGCGCCAAAAATGACTGATCTCAAATGCTGGTATCGCTACCACCGATATAGTAGTTATGCTAATTAAATAGTGGATGTTTTTATTTATTATATCGTATAGTTCCTTCATCGCGGAAGTTATTAGTGAACCTATCTTAAATATTTATGTATTATATTATATTTGAATAATAATAATAAATCGTTCGAAATTATAATAACTTTTATTTATCTAAAATATATTAAGAAAAACGTATAATGACGTCTAATGTTGTAAATTTTTAAACAAAAATGTTATATTAGGCTCACTAAATAATAAAAATTTTAAAAAATATAGTATACTATAAGCCTGGATCTTTGAATGTTGATTGTTCGTGGCTGAATTGAATGAAAAAGTATTCTAATTGATTTCGCTCAAGAGAGTTAGTAACATAATTAAACAAATAGGATCTATGGTATTTTAATACGCTTTTATTAGATTCAGACGTATGTATGTTAGAATGTATGTTTGTAACGGAATCTTTGAACATGATTTTGACCCCCTTCAAAACGTTGGATTAACTCGAAATTTGGTATACCTACTTTTTAAGGACCGATGACAATTCAATATAAAAAAAATAAAATATAAAAAATGGAAATTGAACTAAAAAATGAAAAATAAACAATAGTTTAAAAACTAACAAAATACGCTTTTATAGAAAATCCAACTAAAAACTAGAAAATAAATTTTAATAAATTTTAATTAAAAATAGTGTAAGAAAAAATGATTTTCTTGTAAAAAAGCGTGCATGGTATCAGTAGTTATAAATATTTTATGAACAGATATTATGAGTACAAGGGTTATTTTGATAATATCCTGAAATGCACTCCACGCTTTTTTACAATAAAACACTATTTCAAATTATTTCTTACACTACATATTTTTAATGCAAATTTATTACAATTTATTTTCTATTATTTAGTTGGATTTTCTACAAAAGCGTATTTTGTTAGTTTTTTTTAAACTATTATTTATTTTAGTAAATTACATGACCCGGGTAATACCGGGTATAACTTCTGTAAAAAACTAGAGGGTGTTTGTTCACTGGTACGAACCGTTTTAACTAGCAATCGATCTACAAATGCCCTGGTAATTTATTTACAAGCAACTCGATCCCGGGAAAAAGTGAAGCATTTTTTATGTTCTGAATTACTCGTAGCTGCTATTTAAGTTTTTTCACAGCCTTCATGACGACTTCATAGGCACACCGGCCAACGTAGACGTCAGCAATACTAGAGGAACAGCCGCTGCATAACGCTGATTGCAAACCCCATTTCAAGGAAGTCGTTTGATATTAAACATCATGTATAAGTAAAAATCTCGTTTTTACCATCGCACCGCCCGCCACCGGAGTAGAGTTCATCCATACTACCTGGAGCCACTGCGGTCATCCACAGTGCGTTTCCAGAGTTCTTTTTTGGAACTTAACTTCTTTAGAACTTATATCTCAAGGTGGGTGGCGCATTTACGTCGTAAATGTCTATGGGCTCCAGTAACCACTTAACACCAGGTGGGCTATGAGCTCGTCCACCCATTTAAGCTTTAAAGAAAAAAAAAAACAATTTAACGACAGGATAACTACAACTAATTAATAATTTGTTGTTAATATCCCCGGGATGCGAGCTCCATTTTCGCAGTTGCGTCCGTCGTGAATTCTTTATGCGCGTATATTAAGAGAAGAAGCGGACTGGGTGATCGTTTGTCTTCTAATTTATTTACGAGGGAAGTTAGACGAAACGTGAGGTTTCAGTGGGAGCCTAGTTTGTTACTTGCTCTGTAATTTTAGTGCCGTGACAACTAGCTGGGTGTTTGTGTCACTATTGAAACTCATTGAATGAGTTCGCTGTTTTAGTGATTAAGGCAACACTTGTAACATTAATCTGGGTAATGAAATATCATGCTAATATGTGAAAGTTAGCAATATTTAGAAACTTAAATGTAAATTTTGGGTGTAATAGTCTGGAATAGCACGTTCTGTGAGTATTGTATAAGCGTTACTACGAGCAAATAGGCATTTATGTTCGTAGGGGGGGATATTGTGGTCCTACAATTTTTTTTATTATTTTTGGAGTTTACTCCTTTAGAATCGATTTACATATATAGGCCCGGGGTATGAAAATTATGGGGACCAAAATCGTACTAGCATGTCACACGAAATGCGTTATGCGCCTGATTGGCTCCTGATTGCGTGATGCGTGCGCGCGCCAATCAGGAGCCAACGCGCGGCCGCGTTATCGCAGGTGACGCCGGGCTGCTGCGCCGGCAGTCCGCCACAAAGCCTCGTACTGATCGCGCGTTTCTCTCATTATTGTATTTTCATATATTTGTTAGTCGTTTGTTTTGTGTCTCGTTAATTTGTTAATAATCTGTAGTGTATCGTGTTGTCGTAATATAGAACTATTTCTCGTATTGTTTCGTTTAATTTTTTATATCCAGTAAACTCCAGTCGTGCGTCGGAGCGGACACACACACTTTTTTTAGTTATTTTGATAGTAGGACGAGCTCACAGCCCACCTGGTGTTAAGTGGTTACTGGAGCCCATAGACATCGACAACCCGCCACCCACCTTGAGATTTGAGTTCTAAAGTCTCAGTATAGCTACAACGATTGCCCCACCCTTCAAACCGAAACGCATTACTGCTTCACAGCAGAAATAGGCAAGGCGGTTGTACCTACCTGTGCGGACTCACAAGACGTCCTACCATCAGTAATTCGACCCAAATCTTTTGAACCATAGGTCGAATTGATATGAACTCTATACATAAATAAAATATAGTGTATGTATGTTCATCTAAAATCCTGTTACGTATTTAACTTTCTGCGTTGTCTTATGGCTTTTGTGTTATAATATTAAATGGCATTTTGTTGCGGACGATGCCGCAGGTGCAACTAGTTTTAATATAAAGCAAGCAAATTACCCTCTAATAGTTCAGAAAGAAGTAAAATAACTGGAAAACACGAGCTGCTAAAGCATGCACATCGTAAATCACAAGTAATTTAAGGCAAATGACTATCGGATTTTTATTGAAAGCGCTTAAATGAAGTGACTCGGTATTTTTTAGGGAAAACAAATTAACTTTTCACGAAGCCTTTCATTTTCACGATTAAGTTTACACGTCTCCCGAAGGAGCCTGTTTCTGAGGAGTTTCAGTGATTTTATACAATTTCTAAATTACGTTACGACATCCGCTAATTAATAATCCGACCGCAACGGGGCAACGAAAAGCGGTCGTCGCCTGAAACAAGTCTTGTCGGATCCCCCGGATTCACTTTAGGGGCTTTTAGGACCCTGAAGCACAGGTCACTGTCCTTGTCGGACTCGTCGATTCCGATGATTATCTTCCGGCGACCTTCATATCCTCTCATCATAAGGCTTGGGCATTCTCCCGGCTCCCGGCAGCAACACCTTTTTCTGTGTTCTTATATTGTTTTCACGGCCGTCTGGTGTAGTGGTAAGTGACATGGTCACTACACAAGGGGGTCGCGGGTTCGAATCCCGCCAAGGGAAGATATTTGTATGATAAATATAAATGTCTTTTCCAGGGTTATGGATGTATATTAAATATATGTATGTGTATAATAAAAATCTTACATTTATATCCGTTATCTGGTACCTGTAACA